CAACAACAACTTTGTTTATTGAACTAAATTAGAAATCAAAATACTTTATATGTAAAGATAACTTCTCAAAACGACTTCCAGCTTGTTTTCGATATTGCTATTGCAAATAAGCAGCTATTCAGTTAAAGATTTGATAATTTAGTCTATTACTATTGTCTTACTGTACATTGTATGATCAACACTGTACATTTACTGTATTATACTATTGGTTCTATTGTACCAATTTATCAGCTGAGTAACTAAAAACAAACCCTTAATAATTAACAACTCATGCATGAACAATTTAAATCATCTGTAAGCTAACAACATGTTCTGTACTCAAGGATTCAATCTCAGAACTAGCTTAGCTTTGCTATAGTTTTGTCAAAGTTAACGTTTGTTTGCAGCTAAGAAATACGATGCGTTCCTGGCGAGTGACGCTCTGATCAAGCAGATCCCTCGTCTGTTGGGTCCCGGTCTGAACAAGGCTGGTAAGTTCCCTGGTCTGCTATCTCACCAGGAGTCCATGGTACAGAAGATCGATGAAGTCAAGGCCACCATCAAGTTCCAGATGAAGAAGGTTCGTTTCATTTTATACATTTTATGTACCTTTGGATTTTAAAGAGATTCCAAGTGGATGGTTGGTGATTGTTTTGAAGAGAGGAAGTGTTAAGCTAGCTTACCTAAAAATACGGAGGCTAAAGGTCGATCCACACATGTCACAGGCCAGTCACGTCAAAGCCAATAATGGATTTTCCATTGTGCTATCTACACTCATCCAGCGCAGGTCTGTCAGTTGCGCTGCCGGCGTTCGTTAATCAATTTCAGATTTCTTCCCACCGATATTTTTGGATTGTTCATTGTTCGAAAGCCTGACGGACGTGTTTGAGGTTATAAAATAGTGTTGTTGTTATTGAAATAATTTTGTTTATATTTTGAGTAACAAGATGGAGGATGGACATTTGATAGAATATTGTGTTTAAATTTAAAATTCTTACTGTAACATCACTGTAAATATTACCAATATTGACGGAAGACTGACCGAAACCAGATGACGGACAGTAGACTGAGGAATTGCGGATGCAACTGTAACGGAACTCTGACTGTAACGGAACTGTGACTGGACTGGCATTTGGGAATCAACCTTAATGGATGTGGATACATACATAAAAGATCACAAACAACACGGATGTTACTCCTTAGGCCTCTTGAGTAGGTTGTAAACAAGTGTTTGAATCTGTTCAGCCCACTGTTTGAAGAAGGCCTATAACTGGACGTAACATTAGTGTTATTTTTGTGACCTCATATTGTGTACCTATTTATTAGCCCGGGACTATTTCTCCTGGTAAGCTGGACTCTGTTCCTTTTAAATGAAATCTTAAAAGCAACATGGTTTTCCTTGTAATACTGTACCTTATAGTTATTTTTACTTGTAGTAGGCCTAAACCTACTGTTTTATTCTAAGGTTAGCTCAAAATAGTAATAATACTGCTGAGCTAGATTGATTTTCACTATTTCGCGGAGGAGCGAGAGGATTTTGGCAAAATCCCCTTGATCTTAATAGTTAACCTAGGTGGCGTCCCCATCTCAATAATCGATTGATTGATTGATAACTTAATAAATACAAAATTTTATTTTGATACAGGTCCCTTGACAAGAAATTATAACTTATAGTATATCTTTGAGCTTGTTTTTACAAAATAATTTAGAAAGAAATAACAAAATTTAACATTTTGAGGGCCAAAAATGGGGACAAGTATGTCGTAACAAAACAATACACGACGGTGGGAATTTTTTTTACGTGAGAAACAAAAACCCGGGTATTAAAACTGTTCACGGTTGTTTTGATCCCACCAAGGCAAATGTGAAGTTTATTTGACATTTTGAGGGCCAAAAATGGGGAAATGAGTGCATGGAGTAAAACTTCCATTAACTAGTTTTGACTACCAAGTAGTAATTTTCAAAACAGGACGTTAAATTTCATTTATAGAATGTCGTCAATTTTCTTAAAAATATTAATCACAATATTCTACTCATAACTTGGTAGACATTTAACATAGTTTGCCGGCCGTCACACGTCACTGAACTAGTCAACGGAAGTTCGACTGAGTAATTGTGGACTTCCAAGGTATGTAGCTTGTTAAAATTGATTACCAATTTCCAGAAGGCTTCAACATGAGTAAAAATTTTAAATAGGTAACTAAAAAACAATTTCATATTAAAATGTACTAACATATAGATTGTTTGTGTAGGTGTTGTGTCTGTCGGTGGCCGTGGGTCACGTAGGGATGACTCCGGACGAGCTTGTGCAGAACGTCCACTTGTCCGTCAACTTCCTCGTCTCTCTGCTGAAGAAGCACTGGCAGAACGTCAGGTCCCTACACATCAAGTCATCAATGGGGCCTCCCCAGCGATTGTATTAATCAATAAATGTTTTATGTTATTGACCTAAGTATTGAACTTTTATTACATATATTTCCTGTTGTGCTTAAACTAAAAAAAAAAAGAATATGTGGTGCTTGCGTATTAATGTGGGGATTGCTTGTAAGTAAAGTAATGAAAATTGATAAGATTGTTTTGTTTTAAAACTAGACGATAGTCTCCTCTATTGATGGGTTTTGAAACTTTGGTAAGTTAATGTATGGATTTTCGCATCACTATTAATAACATGGTTAATAGCCCCATTTTGCAATTTGGTAGCCAGTAAGAGTGTAAAAAGTCATCCAATGTAGCCTGTAAATTTACCCTGGTAATGTAAAATGTACAGAAAAGTTATAATAACATTTATGCCAGGAATTGGGCTACCCTTGATTCAGTTAAATCATTACCTGATCTCTGAAATTAGTGTTTTGAAGAAAGGTAAAATATGACTACAACCATGGCCTCCTAATACAAGGCTGTGGCGAAACCAATGGACAAGATGTAAAAAAAAGTGGCAGCATACCAGTATTGATCATTGCCTATCAACACAATTCTAGCCATTCTTGGGATAAAATCCATGTACAAAAAATAATGAGATGACTCAAAGAAGAATAAATAGGGTGGGGGTTAAATCCATATCCCAAAAGATGACATGGCATACAGGTGACAAAAACTCATTAAATCGTACTTTTTTTATTTAAATTTATCAACATATTGAAAATGAAACAATAAGAATTGAAAATCTATATCAGTACATTGAAAGCAGAGTCGATATTTTAATAATCCAGTAACCGAGCTTTCGTAAATACACAAATTGCCATTACGACCTCCTCCATCATTGGTTTAGCATTAGCGCGCAGGTCGTTTTCTAAGCGGCCGAACTATAGCTGCTTTGCTTTCAAACAAACAGCTGTTACAACCCAACTTGCGACGCCATTTCCAAGGCCGCGGCCTGCGGTGCCACAACCCAATTACTGTATGAGAACAACTAAACTAATTAACCCTTTCTTTCCCAATAATCTAAATTTGAATCACGATTTTTGAAAGAGCCTGTTGATTCCACTGTTTCCCAATTATCTAAATGTAAGTCATAATTGAGTAGGGAATTTTGTCTTCTTAAGGTTGGCATCACTGAAGTCATCTGTTAGTTGGAACTTTTTTTTTCTAAATACATCAGATTTGGAGGGAAGACACTCCTGTGAGGCATGTGTCAGATCACACTCGACGTTCTGTACCCACGAGCACCTCAGCTTCCACAAGCACAGAAGGACTTTGAACAGTTCCTCGGATAACAGGTATTTGTGTAATAGCTTCACCGTATATCTTTATTGCACCTGTTTCTGTTTAGATAGTTGTTTTTTTCAACAGTTACAGTTGCGAACTGTGCACTGTGATTTTGAAAAGGTGTTTATTCTTTAATCTTTACTGTTTGTTTACTTTTGACTTGAGCTGCTTGAAAAGGTGTTTTATGATTATGAAAATTAACGTTTTGTGAGTGTGCTGAAGCTGATTTGTTATTAGGTATTGACAATTAGCCTAAATGTTTTGCGTGCATGAATTAATTATTAAGATTTAAATGTTTACTTAACTTATATTTTTCGGATTCCTCAAGAGAGAGTGATTGTTAGGTTAGGTTAGGTGTTTGTTTGTGTGTGAATTTGTTAGATTGCAGTTTTGGTAGTGGTAGGTCTAAGTTAGCCTTTTAGGTAAACTTAACTTAGGCATACTCTTATTAATAGATAAGTTATTAATTTAACTTTTTCAAAGGCAATAACTTAGACCTAAACTCCACTGAAAGGCCCAACTAACTTAATCAAATGTAAACCTAGACCTACCACTACCAAAACTCCAATCTAACAAAACAAATTCACACACAAACGCAACTCAACCTAACATTAACAATCACTCTTTCTTGAGGAATCCGAAAAAGATAAGTTAAGTGAACATTTAAAACTTCATAAATAATTCATGCACGCAAAATATTTAATTGTTAATACCTAATAACAAATAATCAGCCTCAGCTCACTCACAACATTTTAATTTTCATAATCACAAAACACTTTTTCAAGCAGCTCAAGTCAAAAATAAACAAACAGTAAAGAATAAACACCTTAAAATCACAATGCACAGTTCGCAACTGCAAACTGCAACTGTTGAAACGAAACAACTATCTAAACAGGTCCAATTAAAGTATACAGTGAAGCTATTACACAAATAGCTGTTATCCTGTGCATGTGGAAGCTGAGGTGCTCGTGGGTACAGAACGTCGAGTGTCAGATCACAAACTTTCACCAATTTTTTTAGGTAAGTTATTTAATTTATTCAGTAATAATAAAAATCATATAGTATAGGTTATAGTTTTAGCATGTTGTCAATCCAGTTTGTTTTGATTGTAAGCTAAGCTGGAACGGGAACAGCTACGGCCGCCTGGTGTTAAAGCACAGCCACCTCTAATGGTTAAAGGCGGCCGTGGAACAGCTCACTGAGCTCAGCTCAGTCCCTCAGTCTAATCCAGTTTGGTTTGAGTTTGTTTTGATTGTAAGCTAAGCTGGAACGGGAAGTGATAATTAATTATCATCTGTAAAGTTGTTTTTGGCTTGCTTTGTGTGCTCGTGTGCGTGTGCGTGATGTGGGACATGTAATGGCTACAAGACTAAACTAACACTAACAGAATCTAGACTTAGAAATTGCTTTTCTTGTAGTTTCTGTTCGGATTCTTTTTACTGCTGCTGAGTGTCAGTGTAACTTTGTGTGATACGATTGGTTTCATTTGCTGACATGCTATAATATTTCTAAATTTTTAATTTACCTTGAGCTTTCAGTAGGTGTTGTTTTCGACCATTGAACCGCTCCTTTGCCATTGTTTTTATAATAATTATACCTTGGCCTATCACAATTAAGTTATAAATTTGCCAACACTAAGGCCCATAGTCGACAGTACAATGCAGCTATCGTGCAAGTGTCTAAACGTTATCATTAATTCCAAAGGATCGGTTATTGATGACTTCAACTTGAGCACCAGCCCGAAAATAGATCATCCATTTTTCAAAACCGTAAGTAGGCCTACGCTTTAATCAAGCCCCTAGCTCTTAGCATATTAGAAATATTTAGACTTAAGTTAGCTTAAGTTTAGGCCTATTTCTATTTTATGTTACCAATAGGCTACATTACCATAGCCGAAGTTACTTGGCCTAAGCTGAAGTCGATTAAGTTGGGCCCAAGTTTTAGAGCCTATGGACTTATTAACATATTTTCTGGTACGGTATCAAATTTGGCCCAACCCTGCGCCATCATTAATGGTAGGCTTCTAACAACAAAGCTTAACCCTTTCAGTGCTAGGCCAATAATTCATATTTTGTAAGTATTTTTTGTTTGCCTTTTAATTCCATTAACTTACCCGTTGTTGAAGTTTAACTGTCATGTTGTCACTATTTTATTAATTAGGCTAATTTTGAATAATAACACTATAAGAAAATATATATGAAAGATAAATCCCGGTATTTGTAGTAAACATCAAATAAAACTTAGTTTTTGTTGTAATTTTCCTGGTTTTCCTATAAATTTTTATGTTCTGATAGCATTATTTGAAACCGAAATCTCACAAAATCAAAAGACATATAAGTTAGTTTACAATGTAATATTGAATTTAACCCTGATTTAGTTGGACGAGGTTATTGTAATATAGCAATTTTAGGGAAACTAATGTTTTGCAGCAAAGTCTCAGGAACACATTTACTACTACTAAAACTAAAAGATTGCATCTAAATAGTCCGTGACTAGCTGGTGCTGCTACCTAGTAACGCATTGAACAACCATCTGCAGCGCAATCTGTTCGCAATCGGCGGCGACAGCTTAAATACCGGGTTTTGACTCCCCAGTCTTCAAGCACAGATAGCCGAGAAGGCTAGGGCGTGTGTCACTTGGCCAGTGGCATTCGTCTGCTCGGGTTCGAATCCCGTCCTGTGTGGCAAATGATTGGTGACCTGTGTGTTTGTAGCGATATACTACAACCACTGGGGCATAGTGAGGTGTTCATAATCCTTGGTTTAGAGACATACACCTTCGAAATCATCGGATTGGGCGAATCTTTTAGCTAAGTGGTTGGTAGTGTATCCTATGAACATGCGGGTCACCAATGGCCGTTTTGCTATTTTTTTAAAAATAACCTTCCTCTCTATATCCCTTGGGGTTTTTTTAAAACAACGATATATCGTTTCATAGCACTGAAAGGGTTAATAAGATCAGTACTATTAGGCCTACTGGGTACACTTCCATATCTGTTGGCACAATCAACCGAATGAAAAAATCGATTATTCGATTTATCGTTTGGTTATTTAGGTAAGGTTAACCAAACCTAGCTAACCAGACGATATATCAAATTATACAATTGAATAATCAATATCTTACTCATTCGGTTGTTTGTGCCAACAGATATGGAAGTGTACCCCTACCCTAATACTTTTTGAATAAAATCAGAATAGATACCTATATATTACTTGCCATCTGACATAAAAACGCTTTTCAATGAAAAGAGATTTTGTAATAAAAACATTCCTAACCACCAACGTTTCAGCAATTTTCATTATTGTTGCCGGGTTTATCCATGATGTGTATCTATTTAGATTTAACTTATTACAAGTTTGCCCTGTTGTAAAGACCATGTAAGTCTCCTCACGTTTTGAATTCAGTGTGACCTCGGCTAGGTTAAATTTAAAAGTTGCTGAACTACCATACACAATAAGTTAGCCCCAGTGAGACTTCAGCTAAGGCCACAAGGTACTAATTTATTTAGCTGCAGCTAGCTTGAAATGCGTTTTAGCCCTGATGGTAAGTTAGTGTTACTGTACACATTTTTAAGCAATGTCTACTTTTTAACAGAACATCGGCAGTGTGGAGTTGGAGAGTATTCACAAGGAGCAAGCGGCCTTAGTCGCAAAGGAGAGCTGTGGACAATGGCTCGTACATCACTGCCTGAACTGTAACTTGTACACTCATGCGCTGGACACCGGTAGCACTGCTGTTGTGCTCGTCAACCGCAATATGTTGGTAAGTAGATCTCTAGAATGGCCTTAGTCACAAAGGAGAGATGTGGATAATGGCTCGTACATCACTGCCTGAACTGTAACTTGTACACTCATGCGCTGGACACCGGCTGCTGTTGTGCTCGTCAACCGCAATATGTTGGTAAGTAGATCTCTAGAATGGCCTTAGTCACAAAGGAGAGATGTGGATAATGGCTTGTAGGCCTACATCACTGCCTGAACTGTAACTTGTACACTCATGCGCTGGACACCGGTAGCACTACTGTTGTGCTCGTCAACCGCAATATGTTGGTAAGTAGATCTCTAGAATGAACCGTGCAGCGTTCTCATAGCTGCTCAGAGACAAATTGAGCTGATCCAACATTTATATTTGACTTACTTATTTAGGGCGGTTTTTACAATTTGTTAATTTAGTTCACAATTAATTTATTTTAGGTTATGAATAAAACTAAATGTTAAAAATGTAACAAGTGAACGAGGTAAGTTTGCAGCCTCACAAACTGCTGTGCCGGGCTTTGCTCAGGGAGATGGGTCGGGTTCACTAACAAATATCTTCCTTTTAACCTTTTAGCGAATTTCCCATATAGGGAATAAGCTATTACCGTAGTACTCATGGTAAGACCTGGACGCGGGACCGATTTTTTTTTTCATTTTGAGGTCCCTAGAGGCCAAAAACACCATCCGTTCAAATTCATATATATATATATATATATTTATATATTTATATATATATATATATGTGTCCGTCAGCACGATAACTCGAGCAAAAATGATCCGATTTTGATGAAATTTGGTACAAACGTGTAAACGTACGTTTATTCGAACGAGTTCGCGATCCAGCATGATCGGACCATGGGAACGGGGGTTTACGGGGGGTTTTATGGGGTAAAAATAGGTTTTTCCCATTTTTGACCCAAAAAACATAAAATTTAGCAATTTCCTTCCAAACCATTTTGTAGAGCTTAAAAAAACAAATAATTTAGTATATTGAAGCGTTATTATGTGCCTAATGGTTAAGGAGAAAATTCCAAAAAATTGTAAATTTAAAATTCCCATGTTATTCTTATGGAGAATAAGTAATCTTTTGTAGTTTGCTTGTTTGTGAACATATTTTGATCAAATTTGGAAAATGTTTTTATTTCTTACTAACTATTCACATTTTTCAAACAAAAAAAACAGTTTTACCCTCCCTGATGCAGCAAACCTAAGTACTTGTTAAACTAATTCTATTTAAATCAAGAATAAATGTTATATTTTTAAGTAGACATTTCAGTGTAAATCCAATCAGTCAAATGGAAATTCGCTTAGTCTGCAGGTTTGCTGCGGCGGGGGTATTTACTTCTATAGCAACCGGGTCTATTGGTACTAGCTCGGTTTAGGGGGCGCCACTCCGTTTGGAGATCTCTCATAAGAGTTTACAACAGAGAGAAAAACTCTTCTCGTGGTTGCTATGGTAGTAAGGCAGAGAGTTAAACTTTACCTAACCCGATTTTCATGTCTGATGCCGTAACATCAATACCCTAATGTATTTAGTAAGTCTACCTGATCAATCTCAAACAAATATGCAAATATACAGTACCCAATATTATTCAAATAAATATGTATCAACTGACTTAAGACTAAGATAATAAGATACCAAAAGGAAATTATCCAACCAATCAAGGTTCATACCTCTCAAATTAGGCAAAATCTGTTTAACTGAACTGAAAAGAGTTGGCCTAAGCCACACTTGCAATCTGTTGTTTGATTGTCCACTAATCTAGACAAGTTTAAGGAGATCAATAAAAAGAATGATATTTCTGAAAGAATACAATTAACTTTAATCGATGATTGTGTTTAAGGCACTTTTGAAAGTTCAAACAAGGTACAAGAGTTAATAGCAAACAAATGTTGGTACTCTGAATCAGAATAATGACGTTGACAACAAAGATACAATACAAATCTATACAAAATCTCAATGGTTAAGGCACTTTGGCAAAAATCAGACAATGTAAACAAGTTATTAATCTAAATAAATGGACCCTTTATAAGACAAGTAATATATCTAAACAACTTAATTATCTATACAAATACGCTGACGGTACCAGCCCTATATAAATCCCAAAATATAATAGTATGGCGTATACGGTACACAATAGTTACACTGTGGGGGGAGGGGTTAGGCCTATTGTGAATTACAAACAACAAAAATACATAAGGTTCAATATAAAGCTAAATAAACATGAAATTTGCAGGAGACATAATAAAATAATTTACAATTTTACGGACATTTACCTATTACACAAGAGAACAATCTAATAGTTACACAAAATTCAAAATGAGAGCAAGTTGCGCTTTCGCTTCGATCAAACAAAATCAGTTGTAACCCGCTTCCGGGTGTGTTTCGTTACTTTGTCGGGTCGGGGAGTCGCGTCCCTGATAGCCTAGTCGAGCTGGGTTATTCCGGGGGTCAATTTTGGTCGAGTTTCCCGCTTTTGTCTCCTAAAGTCGTTTTCCTGGCTCAGGCGGGAATGTTATGCCTCTTGGCTTTATTCGTGCCTCATCATCGCCAGGAAACGAGTGAATAAAAGAGGGAGGGCGAGATTTTGTTTCGAAGTTATAGCTTCGTGCGCGACTCTGTTCACAACCTCCTCGGTGGAGTTATATTTAATTAATTTACTGCCCTACGTCCGTGCGCCACGGACCGAACAGAATTAGTTTAGATGCGTCTTTATTATTTAAAATAATACAATGCGTTTCGGGCGAGTGGACTAGTTCGAAGCCCCGTGAGAGAGTAGGAATGGAAAGGTGCAAACGAACATACAGAGTAGGGCGGAGAAGGGTCGTTATAGAAAGAGTAACATACGAGACACACACCCACAGAGACAGGTTGAGCACACAAAGACTTATTTCAAATAGATTAAGCCTAACTAAAAACTAACTTATTCCCAGATTTTCCGGGATAGCTTAGGTCTAACTTATAAATAACTTATTTCCGGTGTGCCCGAAGTAATTAAAGCTAACTTATAAATACCTTATTTCCGGGTTTTCGGGAATAGGTTAAATCTAGCTAATAACTAACTTATTTCCGGGTTTTCCGGAATAGGTTAAAGCTAGCTAATAACTAACTTATTTCCGGGTTTTCCGGAATAGGTTAAAGCTATCTTAGAACTAACTTATTTCCGGTGTGCCCGAAGTAATAGAGAAAGAAGAAAGAAAAGTTTGTGGCAAGCAACAAACATTCATAGTCATAAAGTGACAGAGTAGGAGACTTATAGCTAAGAGCTTAAGTGCTAATTAAATCTAACTTATTTCCGGTGTGCCCGAAGTAATAGAGAAAGAAGAAAAGCTACTTAGCAAACTACAGCTAACCAAAGCAGTTAGCTGCACACACACAACACATACGATACACAGATCACTCAATTAGCAACAGTCCAGGAATCGAGGAAATGGTGAAGAATGGAAACAGAAGTTGGGGCTTAACTGTCTAACGTCACGGCGAATTAAAATTCCCAAAGCCAATACGAATCCCCAAAGCCTTAGTTAAGCGTTAATAGTCAAAGGTTAAGCAAAGGTTAAGCGTTATGCTAAGATTTGAAGCAATTTCTAAGGTTAGTGTGTTAGTAGCGGTGTCGTATCATAAGTTAGAATATTTAAATGCATATGGTTCAACACATCAATAATTAGTGGAAGGCTAAATGAATAATTAATAATGAAGTGGTAAATATGGTAAAGATTAGTAAAGCAACTACCTAGAACATTAACAGTTAATAGCGGCTAAGCAACGACATAGAACATAACTACTGTGCACTGGTTCTAGTGTAAAAGATAATGAATAACTACAATGGTTAGTACAGTTCTGAAATATGTACAAACAAATTGCGTGTTAGTTAGTAAAGAAGCCAACCAAGTACTAAAATCACTCTAATAAATCCACTATGAATTAACTCTTATTCCAATAGATAAAATATCTCACAGCTGAACTGCTGCTACAGTAGTTACGAACAACATTGACTACACACTAAACACCACACATTATATTTAAGTAACACCGTGTTCTCACGGACCTACGCGATAAACAAAACAAACAAAAACACACGAATATGAAAAAGCCACCTTGCGTGACCGAAACCGATCGAACTTGAATAGATTTAAACAATACAAATAAAACAACACAATTAAAACAGAAAGGAATTATAACCGGGCGGATCTCGTTCTGACCGTTACTTCTTTGAACTCACGGTCCCTAAAATATTTGTTGAACGAAATTGAGATATTCCACAAATCAAAGCTGATCGTTATATATTTACAAAGTTATTTTAACAAAACAGATCACACTCTAAGTTATAGCAAAACGATTAAGATATTCACCGGTTTAGATAAATCGATCTCTGTTAATAATTCAATTAAATTTAAGACGAAACTTCCCGCGGACGTTTGACTTAAATAGCGTAATTAATTAACAGTGAATAAACGGTTGGCGTAATAAAAGCGATTGCGAGTGAGGTCGAGTTATCCTAGGCGCCCTAGGATATTAACAACGGCGAATGGCGAATGTCGTCCACTTACTTGGCGTGAGCGAGAGTGTAGGGTCGGGCGTCCTTCTTCTGCCTAATTGTTCAGGCCACTGCTCCTGCTTCCTGCTGACTGTCGACTCTCGCCGACCCCGACTCACTCTCCCTCCGAGCGCCGCGCACATCCAGCGCTGTGGCTGGGGTCCTTGCGCAGGCGCGGGCGACTGATGCGCGGCCCGGTGGTACTGCGGTGAACCACAAGATCAGCTGTTGCTGAACTTGTGTCATCTGCTAATTAGTTTTGTTTACATCTTGGAACTTAACTTCGGCGAATTGGCGAGGCGATTCTGCTAGTAAGGGTTCCGTTTTATTATAAATATTCACGAATTTTATGAACCCTTACACAGTCTCGGCTTATTTACAAAATATTTTCAGCGCCTTATGACTTTCTGAAATGGGCTTGACTCAATTCAGCTTAGGCCTAACTCTCTTGTGAGATTAACTTGCAAAATAGGCTACAATAATTAATCAAGTAAAATGGCAACATGGGAAAAATACTAAACCTAACCTAACCTAACCTAAAATGATATACTCTTCTTGCACCACAAAACCAGCATATTACCTACTAACCTTGAGCCTAAGAAATAGGGCTTATGAGAACACTTGGGGTTTTTCAGTTGAATAGGCTAGGCCTAGGCATAAAATTCAAGTTAACAAAATTATAAAATTTAAAAATCTACGATTGATGAATTGAGAGGCAAACAACAAATCTAGGCTATTAGTATCCTTGAAATTATCGAAATTATTCCCAAAAGCAAAACTTGGAAACATGTGCGTCACACCTTGCAAACTTTAACATGATGAAAAAGGTCCAAGACCAGAGGCCTATCTTACACATTTTAAACAAAACAGAACTAGCCTATCAGAAAACATGGTTTAGTGAATATTCTACTTATTCCACATTGAAATCTCACTTGAATCAAAGAAATATCTCTAAAAGTTACATTTTCCACAAACTTGTTCAGAACCAGACATGAATGGACTGTGACGACAAAGCTTCAAGTTTTAATTTAGTTTTCCTTTAAATCAAAATTTTGAATCATAAAATGAAATGAGAAAATATGTTAAAAATACTAATTATTCCTCTGCCTTACCTCTAAAATCAGCAAGTTGATGCTTTTAATCCTTAAATTCAAGCGAGGGCTTCTTTAAGATGTTCTATCTTCGATAATCAGAAATGGAAAGGACCTAATTCTAGCCGGGCGTTCACTGCGCCAGCCACTCACTCCATCCGAATCCAATTGGAACCTAGGCCGTCTGTTAGCCTCGAACATGGTTTTTTTTTATGACTTCTTGGCGTTGAATATTCTTACAATCGACCGAGGGTTATTATGGCCATTGTATGAGCGCTATTCTAAAATACAATGTTGAAAGTAATTGGTTGGGTGATCAGTCCAACCTCCAATGGTGGCCCACAATCGGATTGTTACAAGTTAATGATGTAAAATGAAAGATTGACTCAAAATATGAATTTTAGGACCTCAGGCTTAAGTTATTACAGCCTAAACCACAATAGATCGTTTTTTACCTTCATCCATACTTAAAATAATTTTGCTGTTTTAGGCTCACTCGCCTGTTTTAAGAATCCAAACATTAGGCCTAGTCATAATTTCATGATGGAATGGCCTCTGGATTGTCTGAGTTAACTATAGGCCTAGTGGTTTAAATTACCTGGCTACTGTAAATAATGATCCTTTATAGTTTACAAAGACTACAGCTGTTTTGTGCTGCAGATGGAGCTCATCATTAGATGGTTGACCAGACGGTAACAATTCATGTGATACATCGCCAGCAGAGGGTGAGTCGCGACTATCATGTAAATTGTTGTAAAGTAGCCCTACTAAACTTTTGATGAACTCTGACCATGAGGAATACTCTTCCAATCTTGACACTTTGTCCTAATGATGTTCCCCATCCACAGCACGAAACAGCTCTTTGTAGAATACAAAGGATTATTATAGACAGTAACCAGATAATTTAAACCACCATACTCATGATGTACAATATTTTCTAGCTGTAATAATATACTTAACTATTCTGTATAACGATCTGGTAAGAAAAGTAACAGATAATTTATTGTTTTCAGGTTGATCCGAACGAAATAGCTGCTCTCAAAAACAGTGATAAATTCTCGCCAGTGTTCCACATAGTGATCGACAGTGCTGATGAGGATGCCAATGCTCCAATTCCTGGTGAGTCTTACAAAATCTTATTTGTCTTGAGTACAGTAATTACCTACTGTGTACGTGTTTAATTTTTGCAAAGGAAATTGGGGTTACACAGATTAAACCAGTACCTTTTCCGTCTTCAGTCCTATTCCAACATTCTGACTACTATTATAAGACTGAAGGGGAGCGAGCTGGCGTAGTGGTTAGAGCGCGGGACTTCAGTCCCTGAGGTCCCGGGTTCGATCCCCGCCAAGTCACCAATGGATTTTATCTAAGTGATAATGCCGCAACCCCTAGGTCTAGCCTGAAGTAATGTGAAAAACAATCCCAGGCTCGTGCCTAGCGTCCTTAGGACAAAAAAAAAAAAAAAAAAAAAAAATTATAAGACTGAAGACGGGCAAAGGTATGTGACCTATCATATATTCGTGTATCAGTCTTGTTGTCGAGAATGTTTGAACTTTTGTGCCTTTTTTTAACTTTTAGCATAATGTTGAAGACGTCAATTATATGGTACTAAAGTTCTATCAACGGTTTTTGATGCTCGTCCCTTTTGACCCGACAGGAGTCAGAGGTGTGTCGGGTAGTGCTGCGCTTCATCAGCAGCTGACAGAGTGGGTCCAGCGTCAAGTAGCGGCTACCGAGGAGAGAGTACGACAGTTCTCGGAACAACAGTACGCTGCCTTGGAGCAACTCAGGGCTAGGGCTCACCGCGACCATCTTACACTTTCAAGGTAGATGTTGTTTTATAAATTCTTGATTAGCAGTTCAGTATAGGCTAGACACTGTCATGGGAATACTGGGTGTCCTATATGTAAAAAGCTTCTTTAGGCCTAATTTAAGTTTTTTAAATGTCAAGAAATTTTTTATTTAGCTTGTAAAATTTCCTGTCCTAGGCTCCAAAACCAAGTGTGAAAAGATCTAATGAAATAACTTAGCTATAGGCTAATGATTTTTTTGTGTAAAAAAAATGCAACCTGCATTACTCTAACTCATTTTACATTCCATTTTTTAGCCCCTGAACTGCTTAGTATAAACTAAATTAAAACATACCTCGTCTTTCAAGACGAGGCATGTTTTAATTTAGCTCATTTTACAACTAAAAAATTACAACTGATAACTGTTGGAAACTTGACATATACTTTCCCTACAATCCAAAATTTTATAGCCTATTTAAAATTTCATGAACAAAATTATAATTTACATTACAGGAAGATTTTTTGCAATATAATTTTGTAAGGGACGAGTGAGATGTAATTTTATTTGGGTGCAAAGGCTTATATATAAAATTACATACCATTAAAAATAATAATCAAAATATGAAAAATAGTAAACCTATTTATTAGTAATAAATGCTAGCAAGAGGTGAGATCAGATAAAATGTTATGTACCGTACATGTCTTGTATATTATTTTCAGACCACAAGTAAAATTATTGAGCGGAGCGAGCGAAGCGAGCGTAGCTCTTTTGGATCAACTTCAATGCAACAAATAGAGAAACATCACTCAATAACGGCTGAATGCATTTCAGCCAAACTTAACAAAATTACTTAGACTAATGGTGAGATGGTTTTTAAACAAACAAATTTCAATTAGATAATGCTAATGCAATTTAAAACGAACTTAAAATTTCCAATTTTTAACATTAGGCTTATGGGACTAAAGTAGCCATATGACAGTTTTTTGTTTACAAGAAAAATGTAAACAAGAATAATAAGGTATTTCTGAACTTTCTAGACTTTTCTTTTAAACGTTCTTAAACCATTCCTATGATTTTAATAAACAAGAAAATGCTGTTAAAACATTTCTTTAAGGCGCGGAATTCACTGAAAATCGAGAAAATATACGGAACTACTTTCTCAATGCGCGGAGCATAAACAAGGAGCGGAGGGATACGACGGACCAGTGACTACTTTCTTGTGAACCTATTTGTGTTGCCAGCTGATTACAAACAGCCAATGTTAGAAATCAGGATTTAATAAGCGATATATCGAACCGCATCGAAATCGATATTTAATCCGATTATACATCACAGGTTATATTATGTTGAATTACATCGACGGTGCAGTAAGTTATTACACTTATTTATAAAATGCAGATTGAACACTGATCTAATTTAGGCATGTGGGGAATGTAGGTCGGGGTTTATGAGTATTCGTGACTAATAAACGAAATAATATGTATAATGACGTATAACTATTATTACAGCGTGGATAAATAAAAATATACTTTAAACGCCCAATAAAAACGAAGAATACGCTAAAAATAGTAAAGAAATTTCTGTATTAGGCTAATTAATTTGAGTTGTTTAGATAAGGCCAACGTTGTGACAAAATAGGATGACGTAATAGGAGACCAAATCTACATTGTCTCTGGCATGTCTTCCCTTCTATTATTATTATGTTTTCACATAAATCAGCTGATGTGATGTTTACTTTTCACTTTTAGCGAATTTCCCATATAGGGAATAAGCTATTACCGTAGTACTCATGGTAAGACCTGGACGCGGGACCGATTTTTTTTTTCGTTTTAAGGTCCCTAGAGGCCAAAAACACCATCCGTTCAAATTCATATATATATATATATATATATATATATATATATGTGTCCGTCAGCACGATAACTCGAGCAAAAATGATCCGATTTTGATGAAATTTGGTACAAACGTGTAAACCTACGTTTATTCGAACGAGTTCGCGATCAAGCATGATCGGACCATGGGAACGGGTGTTTACGGGGGGTTTTATGGGGTAAAAATAGGTTTTTCCCATTTTTTAACCAAAAAACATAAAATTTAGCAATTTATTTCCAAACCATTTTGTAGAGCTTAAAAAAACAAATAACTTAGTATATTGAAGCGTTATTATACGCCTAATGGTTACGGAGAAAATTCCAAAAAATTATAAATTTAAAATTCCCATGTTATTCTTATGGAGTAAACTGTTGTAGTTTGCTTGTTTATGAACATATTTTGATCAAATTTGGAAAATGTTTTTATTTCTTACTAACTATTAACATAAAAAAAAAACAGTTTTACCCTCCCTGATGCAGCAAACCTAAGTACTTGTTAAACTAATTCTATTTAAATCGGGAATAAATGTTATATTTTTAAGTAGACATTTCAGTGTAAATCCAATCAGTCAAATGGAAATTCGCTTAGTCTGCAGGTTTGCTGCGGCGGGGGTATTTTTATTATTATGCCTACATTTCAGCCATGTTTAATTGTTCAATAGTATTTTTAGCAGTTCTTAAGTTTTTTGTTTTACATAAAAATACAATTGATAATTTTAGTCATTTAGAAGTGTTTCAATTAATTTGAGTATAAAGTATTTTACGGTTGTGTTTTAAAGTTAAAACAGGCCTACCTTTTTCGTGTTATGTTTTATTAAGGCCAATATTAAAACCAATTCAACCGATTGGAAGGGTTAAAATAAAGACAAATTTAATGTTTATAATGCACATTTGACTTTCAAATTTCAAATTTCCGTTCATGTTTTTATACTTAAATGCTCGTTTTTTATACTTATTGTTTTTTTATACTTCAATACTTTTTACCGATTGCAAGGGTCATAATGAAGTCCACTGTTTTTTTTTTTTTTTTTTTTTTTTTTTTTTTTTTTGTACAGTTGAGTTTAAATGTAAAATTTCCCTCCTTTTTTTCTTTAATACCCGTTTTCCATGTTATTATCATAGTCCCAACTACTGTAATTTAATCTACTTTTGCAAGAGGTAGCCTATCTGAATCACATCAAGATGTAGTCTAGAGGAAAATTATTAAAATTTCAATCAGTAAAACAAGCATTAGTATATTGTTTTATTTATTTATTTAGTTAGTTACCCAAATATTAAATCAAGTTTTCTCCGCTCAACTGGCTTTCACCGCTCTGAAAGCAATCCTAGTTATTAAAAACCCCCTATTCCTATCACAAATCTTGATACACCCTTAAAAATTGTCTGCATTTATTTTTTATGTTTTTTGGGTTGAATCCTTTGCAATTCTGTGGAACAGTTTAAATTGTGTTAGGCCATCTTTAGATTTATTTATATTATAATACGCTACTATTTTTAACATGGGCATAAATTTTAGCATTAATCATGTAGTGATTGAATCCACTCTAGTGTGAGTAAAAATGAACATTGAAAAATCAGCTGATAAAAGAATCAGGGTGAACCTATTGATTTGGAGACGTAGGAATTGGCTAACTCAGGAACTCGCTAACTCGGTCGTGTGGCGGAACTGGCTAACTCTGGAACTGGCTAACCGTCTCAGTCAGGAATTGGCTAACTCCGGAACCCGCTAACTCGATTTTGTCTCGCGGCGGAATTCGCTAACTCTGGAAGTCGCTAACCCGGCCGCGCCCACTACTCGGAGCGTTGCCAACCTTGTACGACAAAATAATCGTACACTGCCGTATTTCAAAATGTCAGTGTCTATAAAGATACAGTAAATGTTATTTTTTTTGTTATCAATTCCACTTTTAACAGATAACTAGCCCAAAGTAATTAAAAGACAATTAAAAAATCATGAAAAAGTGTTTTTTATTAAACTGTACAATGGCCAGTTAAATGTTTATGATTTCGATCTTAAATATAAATGCCATCAGTATAAAAGAAAATAATAGAATAGGAAAAATATTCAAAATTTAGTTTAATTGGTATTCTATTATATTATTAAAGTGATACAATCAAATTTTATGTAAACGGTTAAGGTCATTTACCAAATAAAAATATAGGCATATGGCACATCAAAATGAAGCTTAGAGTGTGTAGATTTGCCGAAAAGTATTGATATGGACGAATTTCCTAAGGGCTCTGCCCCACAGGCTAATTTCCAAAGGGCTACCCCTGGCATATTTCCAAAGTTCAAATGATATAATTCAATTTAGTCCATGAAACAGCTGGTCAGTGCAATGAATTGGTGTTTGTTTATTTACTATAAAAATGAAGATTGAGGAGGGTTATGTTTGGTTTTAAAGAAAGGTTGTATAAGTTTTGTTTAAGTATTGCTCAAAGTTTTCATTTTGTAATTTATATAGCAAGCTACATGGAAAGAGGCTTGACTAAAATTGAAGAATTATGGTAAAACCACTGAGCTATATATCTCAATGGGTAAAACATGTCATTCATGAAGCAGCAATAGGAAGAAATTGATGCTAAGGTATGTGTCCGTATGGAGGTATGTTCTTTTGGATCTATTAACATCAAAAGTAGTGGTTTGAAAGTAGGATTACACTTTTAAATCAGTTTATATTTTCAAACTAAATCATAAAGTTGCTGTATTTTAAAACACACATAAACACCAATTGAATAGCTCGCTAGGTCACATTTACTTCCCGTTGCAAAGCACGGTTATAGCAGCTTGTAAATAATTAAACCTCTACGAAAATAAGCTAAAATACACGCAAGTTCTTAAACACGGAAAACAGATTTAATTGTAATGTCGTAATAAACCAAAACCATTAATTAATACAGTCATCAACCATCGTAACTTTCATAATTAATTCATAGATTTTAAATTAAATGTTCGTCATTGAACCGTCCAACTTACGTGTACAAATATGATGACATAGACTAAGTTTTTATCTAGGCCTAATAGTTTGAACCAAAGCATTGTAGGCCTACTAGTAAATAGTTGCCTAATTCTAAAATGTGTTGAATTTTTTAGCAATAATGTTACATGTTTTAAAACAGTTTTTAGATTGTACACCTAAGCACCGCTAGTAAAAAATAGGAGAAGATATAATATTCATATAATAAAACGTGACAGGGTTATTTTAATTCACGTTTTTTAATAAACTAATTGACGGATTTTCCTGATTTGAGTGTTGGGTTTCCTTTATATTGCTTTCACAAACGATATAAACTATACCAAGCCATTGCTCGGTTCACCGTTCCCCAGTACTGAGCTACACAATAGACAATAGCTTTGTTTTTGGATAAGATAGAATCAGCCTGGAAAAAAACTCCAGACTTTTAAAAAGTAAGCCTACTGAAAGACGTAAAATTAATATTAATTCAACAAAATTAAGAGGATGACCCGGGTTCTACACTAATAGCCTACGATAAAAGACATTTACAAGTTGTATTTATGCATAGACTAACTTTTAATGCAATCCATGAATACATTAGGCCTACCACTTTATAATGTATTGATAAATATTTATTTAAATTCAATAGCTCTATTTAAAAATACATAACCACTACAATGTAATTCTGTAATGACGTTTAACGTGTAAATTTTATTATGATTTATGATTTAAGGTTACTACAAGCCCAGTATATAAAATACGAACTCAAAAATTTTATTTGCAGAAGTTCACAAAATGGTATTTATTCGAATAAAAGAAACAAATGGCGGACTACGAAAATAGATATTTCATAACATGTAATAGATCCAAATTAAATGTGCATTTTTATCTTTTTCATACCAATAAGCTACTATTTAAGTAAGAAACCCACATATAAAACATACTCCCTTATATTAGTACATTTCTCATCCTTATGGATGATCTGAAGACAGTTGTATTGTTAGTTCTGTCCGGTGTACTGTCTTTAGAGGTCGTGTTTGGTTTACAATTGTTTCTTGTTTTTTAGTAATTTAAAACCTCGTTTAACCAAATAAAACGTTCTAATCACAACTAATAACACGTCCCCTAGTTATATAACCAAACAGTAAGGAACAAATCATGAAGTTAACTATAAAATAATAGAAACACAATTTTGTCGACACTAGCGATCAGTGTCACCGGACATGAACTAGACACGAAAAACGAGCTTCAAAGTTTACAATGGGATGTAAAGTTTACTTGTGTTGGTTAGTCTATGGTAAGACTATAATGCATTTTCCACCCTAATAATCATAAGAACTTCTCTGTGGTTAAACATACTTCAAAATATATTTATTTTATCGACTACGTTGCTCTTACTCCTAATTAAGCGTAGGATACGACATTATGGTGCCGATACGATATAGGTACTACACTTTCGGCAACACTGGCCAAAAATATTCGTGCTTGGCTCCCATTGGACGGCCCGCGAGGCTTCTGATTGGGAGTTAGCGAGTTCCGCCGAGGGACCGAGTTAGCGACTTCCGTACGAGGACGGAATTCGCTAACCCGGCTTTAGAGCGGGTTAGCGGGTTCCGGAGTTAGCCAATTCCGAAACCGAACAAGTTAGCGAGTTCCTCTCATCGACCAAATTTGAAGATAGGGCATTTAACATGGGGTTAGCGAGTTCCAGAGTTAGCCAATTCCGCGGACCCTTGATTTGCAGTCAGTTTTTCATTGCAGATAAGATAGTGTAATGGTGCAGTATCACCAGTCTCATTCATCCATCAGCGGTTATGTAAAATTGATAACCTTCAACTGTTGCCTCGGGTCGCTGCCACAAATATTGTTGTACTTTAATTTGATTGTATGGATTTTAATGAGTTATTTGTCGGTTACGGCTTCATAATTTTCATCCAAGCCAATTTTGTACATTTTAATTGTATTACATTGTATACAATATGTAAAGGAAATAGAATTTTTTCAGAAATATTTGGTTTGTTTGTTAATTAATAAGACTTTAGAGTGGTGAATATAGAAATCATTGTTTTCGCCTTACAAATATACAGGGTGTCCCTAAACTATCTACTGACCTACAATTTTCAAAACAAAAATTCTATGTTCAGGCGCAATTTTGTTTTGAAGAAAACTAGTTTTTTTTTTATAAAAAGAACAGCGTTTTGTAGTGAATCAAAGTTTGGTGCATGGATAATTAATGCAAAAACCTATATTGAGAACAAATGTTTTTTACCATGCTTAGTTTATAATGGTGGCCTTTTACAATTTTAAATCTGAAATAACGTAAAACTACATTGGAAAACAAAACTAATGTTACAGTTTTCTAACAATTCTAATGATAGGCTACCAAATTTCAGAAAATCTGTTCATACATAGGGGAGAAAACTCAATTTTAAGATAGTGTGTATCAAACAATATCTGTAATTCGGTAACATCACTGCTAGTTTGCTAAAGTCAGTTGTTTTACCCAACGAGTGCAAATACAGTGATCACAGAAATCGTCTCTGGAAATTTCACAATCACAATGTCTCTAGGGGAGTTGTTCACGATTTCCCTGTGATCACAGGAGATAGTCATTTTGTCTCCGGGGCCCGCATGACTGAATTTCATGATCTTGCGGTGATTGTTACATAATAAAATTTACGTTTCCTCCATTACCCTCATGGCACTAGTGAGTACTACGAGGATACGCAGTACAATCCTGATAATTAGACCAATTCGTTAATTACAAGGCACAAATTTCATTCGTATTCCAATATAAACTAAAGGTCCCTTAGTTGTCATCGGCCGTATGGGCTATTAATTAACAGCTGTGTCTTAGGAATGTCGGCCTTAGTCACTAACAAGACTACAAGATCGCACCACTCATCTCCACTCATACTTGGCTTAAAATACCTACATTCATATGGTCGCCATTTCATAAGAAAGTATTTAGTCCTAAGTATTTTTAAAGTCATCCACTAGTTTACCATTTTCATTAACCTGGCACTACCTAATTACAATATGGGGCGAGTGAGAGTATACTGACATTGAAATAACAGTAAAACCACAGTAAGAAGTCCCCCATTGGCATCATCAAGGTAATAGAGGTTTGCAACTTCCAATAACGTATGATCTTGTTAAATCGAGGGTATTTGAAAATTGTTTGAGGGTGACTTGTTATCGAGGGTCTTGTTATTGAGGTTACACTTGAAGGTAATGGAAATTGTCACACTTGTCAATATCGCAACTGTTGGCAGGACCCTGGTAGAAGCTAGCAGCGGACAGAAAGCAGGATTGTCTTCAGACACTAAACTGCCAACTTCTCAGTTCAACTCGAGCCCCAGTGTTACCAAATTGCCACAGACACCGACACCAGTTCTACCTGATCCTAACAAAGCCATAAGCAAGCGACCAGCTCAGGTGAGACAAGTATTTTAACTCGTAACTTTGCTCGTAATATTTGGGTCTTTTCAAGATGTGGATCTTTTACTGTGCATTGAGGCGGTTATGTTAGGTTAGTTAGCGATAGTGTCATTGACAAAATTTGTCATTTTCTGAACATATGAAAGACGGAGTATGAATATATATTTTAGATCACAATGTAAATGTTAACTTGTTTGTTAATAAAGTAATTCAACCTAAAATAACCTAAAAGTAAAAAGGTTAAACTTGGTTTTTAGCAAATTTCCCGTGTAAGGAATAAGCTATTATCGTAGGTCTCATGTTACAATCTTGGCCCAGAACTGATTTTTTGTTTCCTTTTGTTATCCCTGAGGCAGTTTTAATTCATATATATATATATATATATATATATTTATTACATCGTACAGAATATGAACGATAGGGCTGCATGGGCCCGAAGTCCATAGCGTTTCCGACTGAGCCACGAGCCACCTACTTACCTAAACCACATTGTATCCCTGGTTATCCTTTATGGAGGATATTTTAACTGTTGTAACTACTCCAACATAATACAATATAGTGTAGGTTTTGGTATGGGAAAGGAAATAATTAGATAAAAATTTGGCAAAATGTATTTATTTCACACAAAGCTATTAACATTTCACTATAAAAATCTGGCATTTTTAACCAAATATTTTTGTAAAAATACAACCAGGTAAATGGAAATCGCTTATTCTGCAGGTTTTTAGGTGGTAATTTTCTCCATAACCCTCTTTGTTGTGTCAATCCGTAGTTTTCTCAGCACCTATTTTCCTCGTCGCTGATATGATTGTATTTTTTACAGATGGGCAGCAGACGTAATGTTGCTCGCAAGCCGTCTGTCGATGCTGAAGGACTGTTCGACCTAGATGGAATGGACGACCAAAGCCACGAGCCTTTTGTATCCGACGAGGAAATAGATCTTTCAGACACTGATGGTAAATATTGCAAGTTAATAAATGTAGATTTGTCAAAGGTGTCGATGTGTCGGTGTGGTGTCGACGTGTCCTTTAAAAAATTGCTAAACAATTGTAATTTTGAGTTGTGTCATCGCAAAAATCAAATAAATTTTGATCATGTTGCAACGGTACAATTTATAGGTATTTATTGTCGTGCCACCGCTTACTATAATTTTAGGTTACCAAGTACAGTGTGTTTAGTTAGAAAACATTGCAAAACTATGAACTGACATATACAGCTGAATTTTGATTTTATATCAATACTAGCTGTCTCCCAACGCTTTGCCCCGTTTAACTTCTTAATTTTCAAGATGATCTCGTTCGCATGGCTCAATCACGTCCTGGTTGCATCTGCCAGTCTGTCTAAAGAGAAGGCGGATATAACCGCTTCCCGTCCGGATCATCAAAAACCATAGGCGGATATATCCGGCACCCGTCCTTTATTGCCAAAGACTTAGGCGGATATATCCGTCACCCGTCCGCGAAGGGTTAATAGTAATCCCACCACTTGCCATTTGGGTGTTTACTTACATAGTATTGGAAAATGGTTTTTTTAAGCTAGTTAGTATTTTATTGGAAAGGAATATAGGTTAGCATGGATCATCTGAGAAAATTCCTAACTTGCTTAAGAAAGTTACCTTACCAGGTAGTTAAAAAAAAGTTCACACCACAATAAACTTGACATTTCGCCCCTACGTGGGGATTCTTCGGAAGAAGGATGTTTAATGAGTCAAGTTCTTTGTGTTGTGAACTTTTTTTGTGTGTTATATTCATTCGACACACTTTTCTTAGGCAAGTTTGTTTTGTAGCCATTCCTTCTTCCTCGTATTCCTAACCCAAGTGCATTTCCTCCAGACCAGAAAATCCGCTATACGAAAATAGCTTGATTCACTCTCATTTGGCATATAACATTTGTGTATATGGAGCAACGACTCACAAAAACTTAAAAAAGATATTGAAACTACAAAAGAAATGTATAAGAACCATGCTAGGTTTGAAGTAGAAGGCTCATGTAAAGGATAGGTTTAGTGAACTAGGAATTTTGTCAGTATTTAATTTGTATGTATATGAATGTGTTATGTATGTGAAACAAAACATGACTAATACCAGTTTTTCTTGGCCATAATCATATTTATAACACTAGGCACAAAAATTATTTTAAATTATCGATAAGAATAAAAAAAGACTACGGTGCCAAATTCTTTGATAGATTGCCAGAAAGTTTGAAAAGTGAGACTAACATTAAGAAATAAAAAAAAAAAATTAAAGGCATTCATGATTGAGAACACTTGTTATCGCAATTAATGAGTTTTTAAATAAAATAAGTTAAATGGCATTGTTGGTAAAATTTGTTAGTAAAAAGGTGTACTGTATTATACTTGTAAATAGATGTACTTATTTTTATTTCTTAGAAATAATATCTGACACCATTCATGGTACATAAATAAAATGCCTTCAAAATAAATTACCAATTAAAAATAAATTGCCTTCCTGAATAAATAAAATAAATAAAAATGCCGACGCAGAAAGGACTAAGCAAGAGACAGACCCTCGTCACCCATTACACGGCCACCAACCTGCAGAGCGATGGCTTCGGTCCAGAAAGAGCTTTTTATCACGGACACGAGTCCTGGATGGATCACTCTCAAGCAATTGGGTGGCAAGGTGGGAGGCCACGTTGACTAACCCTCCCATACCAGCCAGGGAGGAACTGGCTCCTGGTGGAGGACTTCATTACACGGTGTGGAAGACCCTATCGAATTAGGGTCGAGGTACTAAAATGCAAGACAAACATGAAGAAATGGGGTCTCTTACCAGAAGAAGAAAACATCTTGTGCGCTTGTGGTGCTGTTCAGGATCCTGGCCATCTGGTGATCTGCCCACGCCTAGACCAGTCTTGCACATTAGATGATCTTTTACATGCGAATGACAAAGCCATATCGGTAGCTAATTTTTGGAAAAGCGAAGTCTGATTTCCGGACACAGAAAGTAAGTAAGTACTGTACATAAATTTTACATATTATGAATAAAAACATATTTGATATGATATGATTTGATTTGATCCCACTTAGTAACAGTGCAACAACATCCATTGCCCTATGATTGACATTATCTTCTGTTTGTGCAGAGTCTGGCAGCCATGATGAAGGCATTCACATCCCACGACATGTCAGTGCAGCCATTTACGCCAAGTCTCTTCCAGTCAACGTACCAGTCTTCGCTCAACACTCCAGCGTTGAAGACTCACCTCACAGGCATGAATACAGGGTGAGTCTAATTCAAAACTTTTATTATTTACCTACATGAAGTTGAATAGTTATAATATAATGCTCGTTTGAAAATAAATTTAGAACAGCATTGACCCTTGCAAGTGTAAGATCAATTCTACTTTTGTTAATTGTCATTTAATTAATATTTATGTAGTTATTTCACTGTGGTTTTAAAGTTCATATCGAAAAAGAAAACTATTTTAGTTTTAGTTAGAGACTTTTCCTACACTAAGTGTCTTGACTACACTACATTTTGAAAGATAAGAAAACTTTTCACACTTTCAAGTGACTGTCAATTAATCCACATTTACCTAACTTACTTATCCAACCTAACCTACATATTTCATCAATATTGCTTTAATTTTACACTGCATAACCTAACAACATATAGCCTGCAAAGACACAATAAAATTAAAACTAAACACAGCTATAATCATCAGCCCGAAGCCTCCAAGCTGGTCTGAAAAAATGATACTATACTTACTAAAACAAAATGTAGAAAAACGATTACTGTAGGGTAGAAGAAGTCCATAAACTAATACTAAAATAATTATTTCAGTTGTAAATTTTTCTAGCCTATGACAGCCTAATACTTATTGTGATATATAGTTGTATCTATAGTTTGCACTACCACGTGGATCCTGTACCCTTAGACTGGCCTACCCAGTACCCCCGCTAACCTTCCCTAGCCTGCCCTACCTACCTTGTACCTCTAGTAACCTACATTGCACTACCCTAGATCCTGTAACCTACCCTGTACCGCCAGTAACCTATGCTGCACTACCCTAGACTGGCTTACCCAGTACCCCCGTTAACCTACCCCATAGTTCCTGTACCCTAGCCTGCCCTACCTACCTTGTACCTCTAGTAACCTACATTGCACTACCCTAGATCCTGTAACCTAGCTTGTACTGCCAGTAACCTATGCTGCACTACCCTAGATTGGTCTACCCAGTACCTCCGCTAACCTACCCCATAGTTCATGTACCCTAGCCTGCCCTACCTACCTTGTACCTCTAATAACCTATGTTCCACTACCCTAGATCCTGTAACCTACCCTGCACTATCCCATATTTCCTGTACACTAGCGTACCCTACCTATCTGGTACCTCGACTAACCTACGTTGTACTACCCTAGATCCTGTAACCTACCATGCACTACCCTAGTACCTGTAACCTACCCAGCCTGCGAAGAAGTACTAGTAAATAATTATTTTTTTATTGTTGGTATAAATATTTTGCGGTCTCGGCAATACCGTGGTCATCACTCATGGGAGCGGCAACACTCGTAAGTAAATGTTGCTGTCTCAGAAATGAGGTGGTTGTCATTTTTGTGATCGCGACAACATCTGTAAGTTAAATGTTGCTGTCTTGGAAATAACGTAATCGTCATTCGCAATTGCAAAAACACTCGTGAGCATTTTTTGCGGCCTCAGCAATACCGTGGTAGTTACTCACGGTAGTGGAAAAATCTCAAAGTAAATATTGCGGTAAATATCCTTCCCTGCACTACTTCTTTGTTCCTGTACCCTAGCCAGCCCTGCCCTGTACCTCCAAATAACTGCCCTGGACTATCCCATAGTTCCTGTACCCTACTCTGTACCTCCAGTAACCTACCCTGGACTACCAAATATTTCTAGCCTACCTTACCCTGTACCTCCTGTAACCTATCCTTCATTACCCTTTACCTCCAGTAACCTAAGTAACATATCCTACTCCAGCAACCTACCCTGTAGATCCTGTAACCTACCCTGCAGTACATTGTACCCCTAGTAACCTATCCTTCTTCAGTAACCTACTCTGTAGTATCTGTACCCTAGCCTGCCCTACCTACCTCCAGTATCCTGGTTACCTATCCTACTCCAGTAACCTACCCTGTAGAACCTGTACCCTAGCCTGCCCTACCTACCTCTAGTAACCTGGTTACCTATCCTACTCCAGTAAACTACCCTGTAGAACCTGTACCCTAGCCTGCAATACCTACCTCCAGTAACCGAGGTAACCTATCCTACTTCAGTAACTAACCCTTTAGAACCAATACCCTAGCCTGCCCTAACCTACATCCAGTGACCTGGTTACCTATCCTACTCCAGTAATCTAATAACCTTTCCTACTCCAGTAACCTACCCTGTAGGACCTGAAACCTAGTCTGCCCTACCAACCTCGAATAACCTGGTAACCTATCCTACTCCAGTAACCTACCTACTTCCAATAACCTGGTTACCTATCCTAATCCAGTAACCTACCCTGTAGAACCTGTACCCTAGCCTACCCTACTCACCTCCAGTAACCTGGTAACCTATCCTACTCCAGTAACCTACCCTGTAGAACCTGTACCCTAGCCTGCCCTACCCACCTCCAGTAACCTGGTAACCTATCCTACTCCAGTAACCTACCCTGTAGAACCTGTACCCTAGCCCACCCTACCTACCTCCAGTAACCTGGTAACCTATCATACTCCAGTAACCTTATCTGTAGAACCTGTACCCTAGCCTGCCCTATTCACCTCCAGTAACCTTGTAACCTATCCTACTTCAGTAACGAACCCTGTAGAACCTGTACCCTTTCCTGCCCTACCTACCTGCAGTATCCTGGTTACCTATCCTACTTCAGAAACCTACCCTATAGTATCTGTACCAGTAAACCTGTCATTGTGACAAGCCCTTAAAAATGTACCTCTAATAACCTATGTTCCACTACCCTAGATCCTGTAACCTACCCTGCACTATCCCATATTTCCTGTACACTAGCGTACCCTACCTACAAAACCTGCCTGTCCTACCTACCTCCAGTAACTCGGTTACCTATCCTACTCCAGTAACCTACCCTGTAGAACTTTTACCCTAGCTTACCCTACCTACCTTCAGTAACCTGGTTACCTATCCTAATCCAGTAACCTACCCTGTAGAACCTGTACCCTAGCCTACCCTACCCACCTCCAGTAACCCGGTTACCTATCCTACTCCAGTAACCTACCCTGTACAACCTGTACCCTAGCCTACCCTACCTACCTCCAGTAACCTGGTTACCTATCCTAATCCTGGAACCTACCCTGTAGAACCTGTACCCTAGCCTGCCCTACCCATCTCCAGTAACCGGGTTACCTATCGTACTTGAGTAACCTACCCTGTAGAACCTGTACCATAGCCTGCCCTACCTACCTGCAGTATCCTGGTTAACTATCCTACTTCAGTAACCTACCCTGTAGTATCCTGGTTACCTATCCTACTTCAGTAACCTACCCTGTAGTATCCTGGTTACCTATCCTACTTCAGTAACCTACCCTGTAGTATACTGGTTACCTATCCTACTTCAGTAACCTACCCTGTAGTATCTGTACCCTAGCCTGCCTTACCTACCTCCAGTAACTCGGTTACCTATCCTACTTCAGTAACCTACCTTGTAGATTCTTTACCCTATCGTGCCCTACCTACTTCCAGTAACCTGGTTACCTATCCTACTCCAGTAACCTTCCCCTTTATAACTTGTACCCTAGCTTACCCTACCTACCTCCAGAAACCTGGTTACCTATCCTAATCCAGTAACCTACCCTGTAGAACCTGTACCCTAGCCTGCCCTACCCACCTCCAGTAACCCGGTTACCTATCATACTTCAGTAACCTACCCTGTAGTATCCTGGTTACCTATCCTACTTCAGTAACCTACCCTGTAGTATCCTGGTTACCTATCCTACTTCAGTAACCTACCCTGTAGTAGCCTGCCCTGCCTACCTCCAGTAACTCGGTTACCTATCCTACTTCAGTACCTACCTTGTAGATTCTGTACCCTATCGTGCCCTACCTACTTCCAGTAATTTGGTTACCTATCCTACTCCAGTAACCTTCCCCTTTAGAACTTGTACCCTAGCTTACCCTACCTACCTCCAGTAACCTGGTTACCTATCCTAATCCAGTAACCTACCCTGTAGAACCTGTACCCTAGCCTACCCTACCCACCTCCAGTAACCCGGTTACCTATCCTACTCCAGTAACCTACCCTGTAGAACCTGTACCCTAGCCTACCCTACCTACCTCCAGTAACCTGGTTACCTATCCTAATCCTGGAACCTACCCTGTAGAACCTGTACCCTAGCCTGCCCTACCCATCTCCAGTAACCGGGTTACCTATCGTACTTGAGGAACCTACCCTGTAGAACCTGTACCATAGCCTGCCTTACCTACCTGCAGTATCCTGGTTACCTATCCTACTTCAGTAACCTACCCTGTAGTATCCTGGTTACCTATTCTTCTTCAGTAACCTACCCTGTAGTATCCTGGTTACCTATCCTACTTCAGTAACCTACCCTGTAGTATACTGGTTACCTATCCTACTTCAGTAACCTACCCTGTAGTATCTGTACCCTAGCCTGCCCTACCTACCTCCAGTAACTCGGTCACCTATCCTACTTCAGTAACCTACCTTGTAGAACCTGTACCCTAGCCTGCCCTACCCACCTCCAGTAACCTGGTTACCTATCCTAATCCAGTAACCTACCCTGTAGAACCTGTACCCTAGCCTACCCTACCTACCTCCAGTATCCTGGTTACCTATCCTACTTCAGTAACCTACCCTGTAGTATCTGTACCCTAGCCTGCCCTACCTACCTCCAGTAACTCTGTTACCTATCCTACTTCAGTAACCTACCTTGTAGATTCTGTACCGTAGCGTGCCCTACCTACTTCCAATAACCTGGTTACCTATCCTACTTCAGTAACCTACCCTGTAGAACCTGTACCCTAGCCCACCCTACCTACCTCCAGTAACCTGGTAACCTATCATACTCCAGTAACCTTATCTGTAGAACCTGTACCCTAGCCTGCCCTACCCACCTCCAGTAACCTTGTAACCTATCCTCCTTTAGTAACCTACCCTGTAGAACCTGTACCCTTTCCTGTCCTACCTACCTGCAGTATCCTGGTTACCTATCCTACTTCAGTAACCTACCCTATAGTATCTGTACCCTAGCCTGTCCTACCTACCTCCAGTAACTCGGTTACC